AAAAAAAAAAAAAAAAAAGGCAGATGAGATAAAGGCAGCTTGTTTCAGTTTAGCTAGAGCGTCACCATCAGTTGTAGCTCATCTAAGAGCTAAAAACTAGAATGATTTTACAGCCTTTCATCAACAGCAAAGACCAATTTGATCTGAAGAGACACAATTTACAGATTGTTAACTGCAATTTTACATAATCTTGTTGAACATTTGCAAGATTATAGCAGGAAAAAAGTAAATAGCCCTATGATTAAAGTGAAATTGCAAGTGTTTGATTTGAAAAGGATCAACGTTCAAAAGCTGCTATGGATCCCATGCTGGAAGGTGAGGTACTCAAAGCACAAAGCACTTCCCTCTTCTCCTCATCTCACCACCATCGATAACATACCCAGGGCTGTGGGTTGGCCTCTGTGGCTATGAGCAAGCCACCAGCCCAACTGCTGCCATGTTCTCTTCTGGAAAGGAACCCTCCACAGAGACAAGCACTCAATGTACTTCAAAAATAAAAGGATAAAGTTAGCCTCAGGATGCCTGTCCACATGCCAGACTGGGAACACCCACACATAAATCATGCTTCCAAGTCAGCACTTCACCCCAGTGTCTGCACGCCCTTTAACTGTTCCTGACTTCTATCCTTCAAATCTGGTGCAGCCTCACGTGCCTGTGGGTGGTAGAGTTTTTCTATCTCTGCCACAGCGTGGAGCCTCTCAGAACATTGGACCAAATCTGGTCAGTGGGCTATGGTTCATGGAAAAGAACTATGCATCTCTGAAGACAAAAATCACAGGCTATTTTCTAATCACTGAATAAATTGGGAAAAAGTAACAGCTTCTCCTAGGTGAACACAAGTCATCTCCCTAATACCTTTGGGAAATGCTCCATCTCTGTGTAGAATTCAGTCTTCACTTGCCACATCTTATGTGAAAACCATAGACAAAATGTAAAAAAAAAAAAAAAAAAATGACCACATTCGTCTGGGTTGCTAGTCCCTCCCTCAAAGTTCTCTTTCACCTGCTATTCCTAGGTCTCCATGGTCAGCTAATGGTTTTTTAATCTCACTCTTTACTGGCAAACATACAGTTTCTAGCCTTACTTTATGCATTTATATTTGTAGATATATTTTGTCTTTCATTGATTTTCTACACACAAGATTCCCAGAAATAAATGCAGTCAAACAGGTACTGTAACTTGCCTACAGCTCAAAGTTAGTCAGTTTTTAATAATGGGAAAATCTACTTCTAAACCCTTCTCTTAAAGTCTACTTTGGAAGAAGCCCTCTGTATCAGTCCCTTCTCACACTGCTAAAAAGAACTGCCCAGGACTGGGTAATTTATAAAGGAAAGAGGTTTACTTGACTCACAGTTCTGCAGGACTGGGGAAACCTCAGAAAACTTACAGTCAAGGCTGAAGGGGAAGCAAACACATCCTTCTTCACATGTCTGTAGAATACACTGAGTGCAAGCAGGGGGAATGCCAGATGCCTATAAAACCATCAGCTCTTGTGAGACTCACTCACTCTCACAAGAACAGCATGGGGGAAACCACCCCCATGATCCAGTTACCCCCACCTGATCCCACCCTTGACATGTGGGGCTTCTGGGGATTATAATTCCAGATGAGATTTGGGGTGGAGACACAGCCAAACCATATCACCCTCTCTGTCACCAAACCTTACCTTCTTCATGTACCGACTAGCACACCGCCTGGAATTTGAAAAAACACCTAGAGTGAATGAGGGCTAAGCCTTGCTGAGAATAAACATCCTAGATCCAGAAGAGAGATTAAGCATGCAAACCCAAATTACCAAGATTATTGGGTTTTCTGCCATGGTGTTCTAAAGATGGTGCAGGAGGAGGCAGGAAGCTGGGTCTCCTGGAGCTCCAGTTTCTTACTTCCCAAGGATGCCCATTAACTAAACAGAAGTAAAGAGGATAAGGCAGGAGATTCGAGGAGACAGTCATACCCCGGAATAGTCAAGGTGTTTCTAGATCTCTCAAGCAATGGTCCCAGAAGTAACTGCTATGTGGTCACTGGAGGCAGAGTCACACCCTGGTGATCACAAAGAATTTTACATTTGTTGTGATGCGTTTACTCCCCAGAGAATTCTTTATACTCTCTAATTTTAAAGAAAGAGAGCATCCAAGGAATATTAAGCACTTTTAAGCAAGATATTTTATCTTATTAATACTAGCCCTTTAGAATTTTAATCAGTACTTTTTAATACAATTATTTTTTACATAAATCAGCCTGGTTTTCTGTAGTATGCTTCTGACAAGGGTACAGAGATTTAGCCATAATGCTTTTCACCTAGGAGTCTAGGGCCCTGGTTTCTCTCAACACAGATGCGCTCATAGTTATTTAATTAGCTATGTGGCAGGCAAGTTATAAATAAAACACTCTTTTTACACTTTCACCCATAAAATGGGGTAATTAGATTAGAATAAACTCAATTCCAGCCAATTCTAAACTTATTCCATCATTTGGTACATTTATTGACTCTCTAAGTACCTAGCATCATTGGAGGCATGGTGGAAACAGACACACACAAATATATTTTTAAATGCTTCCACCTTCAAGGAATTTAAAACTTAGTTAACAGTCTGGATCAAACTAGACTATGATTTCCTTAAGGGCTTATATTGGGCCTAATTTATTTCTGTCTCCCACAGTGTTCAGAGGAGTGTGTGTTGAATGACAAAATAATGCATTAATGAGCAAAATGCACATACCTAAAGCTAACACCTGTGGAAGTATAACACTGAGAGTCAGAGAAGATCAAGCTCAGAAAAAGTGTGATCAGGGTCAGAAGAAGGCAATGCAAAGCAATGCACACGAGACTCTGACGATGTGATAATTCCAAAGACAAATGATACAAAAAGTGAGAGTCTCCAGAGAGCTGAGGGATTCGTCATTATCGTGCCCTGGGATGTTCCCAGGTAATGCATTGGGTAAAGCTTCCCCATGGTAATGCAGCCTGACCAGAACCCAAAATAGGATGGAATTCGGGCAGCTGAGGAGAAAGTAGAAAATTCTACAAGGAATTATTTAGAAAAGAAATAAATTTAACATGTTTGAGGGTAGAAATGATCAGGCTTACCAATAAATAAATAAAATTTCATGCTAGAGAGCCTATCCCTTCATTTGTTCAACAAATATTTGGTTCTGGGAACTGGGGAGACGGCAGTGAACAAAGCAGATAAAAATCCCTGCCTTCATGGAGCTTACATTCGACTTGGGGAAGACAGAACAAAAGTAAAACATAGGCTGTGTCAAGTAGGAATAACCGGTATGGAGAAAAATAAATCAAGGAAGGGGAAAATGCTTGTTAGGAAAGGTCTTAGTGCTGGTTTAAGGAATGGAAAACTAACTTGTACATGGTCTCACGGCCCTGTGGCTCTTCGGCTGTCTCTCCTTTGCCTAATTCAAATCCACCCTGCAGTGGCATCACCCCATTTCATTCTCCACCTTCCCGTTTCATGTGTGATCAGTACAACAGAGACCAAATATTTATGTGAAATTTGTACCAGATTACTTAACCCAGGTCTCTCGGTTGCACCAGGTCTCTAAATTTGCTTCAGGTCTCTGACTTCAATCATTGTGTCCAACTTTGATGGGGCAGTGACCCAGCTCAATATGAACCGAGAAATCCATGCATGTGAGGTGACAGCTGCCTTTGTAACATGTTCCGTCTCCTTTTTATTGAGCCTACCTCTTTGTACGCCACTCAGGACCCAGACCCCCCCCTTTAGGCTATGGAAAGCAATAAATGGTTTCCCAGTAGAAATAATGTTTGGAGAGGCTATACCTAGCAATAGGAAGATAAGGTAGCAGGTTATTATTTGAGAATGTGAGTCTTTAAAGGTGACA